TTTTGCCTTGCTCAACAATACAAATGTCCTCCGGGGACAAGCCTTCTTTATCTGCGCCACGGATTGAGCGTGTTGGATCACAGCGTGTTGCGCGTGGTGGGGAACAGCGGCTCCGTGTCCAACGCCATATATTCACTAAGCTTTTTTACCGTCCGCCATTCAAGCTGGCTGGATTGGCGTGACAACGACGTGGGTGTGGGTGCGATGTTTCATTACTCCCTAATAACTACTGTGAACATCGACGGCAGCAGTGTGGTGACGCTGACGGGCTGCACGATGGGCTCGACGGGGTTGTCGGGACCTCTGCTATCGCAGGCTGACGCCAGCTACCGGTTCGTTGCTGGGTGCCTGACGGTCGCGGGACGATTGGTGACGACGGCGGTAGAACTGGAGCTGAACGGCATCACCAACGTGACGACGGTTGCGGTGTGCGGGGAGTGTACGAAGGAGGGCGACTGCTTTGCTCCGCTGACGACGGCGATCAGCGACTGCAATTGCCAGTGCGCTGCTGGAGGGCACGGCGATGTGTGCGTCCCGGCGCCTGTGCCTGCTGGCCCGCCACCGCCCACGCCGCCAGTGCCGCCACCACCGCCGCCGTCACCGCCGCCGGTTGGTGAGTGCATCAGCGACATGATGTATCCCGAGGTTGCGCAGGCAGTGGGCGGCGGGCTGTCGTGGCTGTGCTACCGCAACGTGAAGTTCAGCGGGGGCGGCATGAGCCTGACGGTGCTGATAGGGGCGATGACGGGCGACGTGGTGAATGTCACGTTTGATGGATGCACGTGGAGGGACGGCGCCGTGCTGTTGCTGTTGGGCAACGTGCACGCCGCTGTGGAGTCGCTGAACATCTTCGTCACCGGCAACACATTTAGTGACGCGCTGCTCAGCCCGGAGGGTGTGTTTCCACCGCACACGAGCATCACGATCAGCGGGAACCGCTTTGCGGTCACGAGGCTGATCCCTCGGTCGGGTTTGGAAATTATGAGGCTGTCGTGTGTTGTGATGAATGAGCTGGCGATCAGCAACGACTCCGCGGTGGTGCTGAGTGGCAATGTGTTTCAGAGCGTGGCGGCATCGTCAAGCGTCATCCACGTTTTCAGATCTGCGCTGAGCGTGTCTTGGCACTCCGTGTTTGCGGTGATGGGCAACACGTTTCACATGGCTGGCGGTGACAGTACGCTGATATATCTTGAAGGGTCTAGATACTCCTCATCGCTGAGTGTACTGAACAACTCTGCCGTGGTGATCCGAGGCAACGCTGTGACGAGGCCGGTGAAGTGCTTCGTGTTACTTATTCGGAACTTAGACGTGGAGTCCCATTCAGCGGTCGTGTTTCATGGCAACGAGATGCAGCGAAGCTCGGTTGTGTTTATCTCAGGCGACTCCTCCAACATCTACTACAACTCCTGGCTGCAGTTGAGCGGCAACCTCTGCCGTGAATCCCCATCGGATGCGTTTGCTTTTCTTTATCCCAAAGTGAATCTCCGCGACTCCACGGTGTCTGTGTCCCGCAACCAATTCATGTCCAGCACGGTCTCGCCAACGATGCTGCTGATACCTCAAAGTTCCCGCGATCTCACAAACGGAGCGATTGTGGCCGCGTGCAACACTGTGAACGGCGAGGAGGAGGCGTACTACAGCATCCCGTCCGTGTACAATGCCACCATCCTGACCTGCAGCGACCCATGCGCCCTTGCGACATCGTGCTTCCCTGCGTACACGACGACGGCCTCGAGTGATGGCTGCG